CATGTTTAAGTTTTTTAAAAATGTATTCAAAAGGCAGAACAATTGAGAGAGAGAGATGCAGAGACACACCCATGTACACACAGAGATAGAAAGGGAGGGAGGAAGAAGGAGAGAGAGCGAGAGAATAGATAACAAATATCTTAGAACATCCTAAAATGCCTACTATAGGATCCCAAGGCTTTGGGCCACCCCATGCTGCTTTCCCAGGGCACAAACAGGGAGCTGGATTAGAAGTGGAGCAGCCAGGACATAAACCAGTGCCAATATGGGATGTTGGCATTTGCAAGTAGAGTCAGTTGAGCTATTGTACCAGCCATCATTTATTTTTTTCAAATTTTATCTGCTATTTTGTACTTAACAAGGTTTTACAAAGTGTATAGAATGTTAATGCATAATATAGTGCTAAGCTGTTAATTTAAAAAAAAAAGTCTTAAAAGCTGTAGCAAAAGGACTGGTATGGTGGTGCAGCAAGTTAATCCTCTGCCTTGTGGCACCAGCATCCCATGTGGGTGAGGGTTTGTGTCCCAGCTGCTCCACTTCCGATCCAGCTCCTTGTTTATGCCTGGGAAAGCAGTGGAGGACTGTTCAAGTGCTTGGATACCTGCACCCACTTGGAAGACATGGAGGAAGCTCCTGGCCCCAGGCTTGAAACCAGCTCAGCTCCAGCCACTGTGGCCATTTAGAGACTGAACTAGCAGATGCAATGCTTTCTACTCCTCTCTCTGTGACAGCTGACTTTCAAACAAAAAAATCTAATAAAAATCTGTAGAAAAGCAGTATGCTCATGTTTCCCCCCGAATAGTTGTGGTGTAAGAATGCATGCACTCAGACTAGGGTTATTTTCTGATGTGCTTGCATCTCGTACTTTATAATTGCCTTCACTGTAGACCCAGACAAGAAAGGTGTGAACATGCATATGTTCTCCTGATGCAGAAATTCTCATTTTTTGAGGGAAGGTTTGACTTTTTGATGCAATGTAAAGTCACTCGAAAGCAAGCTTAAAGAATAGGACATTATTAATGAACTAATTTTCTCTTTCAGGGGACCCAATTCTAATGGCAAGTACAAAATGTTACTTAAGCATTTTCATTATTTTATTTTCCTTTTTTTTTTTTTTGCAATGCTTTGTTCCTTTGATGATGCTATGTATGTATTAAACTTTTGCTATATGTCTTACTGTTATGAATCAGCTTCTTCAATGCATTCTGTGTGGGTGTATCAAAGCGAAAAGATGCAACAACTTTGGTCTCAATCTTCATGTTGCTCAAAATGTGGTGCAAGAAATAAGGTTTACATTCCCTAATGTTGGTCATTTTCCTCCAAAGATTTAAAAAATAATGGAAGTGTTGAGTGTTATTTGATAGTGTCATGTTTTTATGAGTTAGGACGAATCAGGTGTCAATAATTCCAGATTCATCACTCCAAGTTGGGGTCATATCAAGGTGTATTAACATTCAGTTAGCTACCTTTTAAAAACTAACAGAAGTCTTTTTGCCTTGGCATGTTAACCTGCACCAACAATCTCTGAGTCTGTCTTGCTATTCCTGTCTTGCTCTCCAGGTCCATTAAGAACTTCAGGCCAGCTTGATAGCTCAACTGGCTAGTACTCTGCATTGCAGGGTCAGCATCCCATATGGTCACTAGTTTGTGTCCCAGCTGCTCCATTTCCAATCCAGCTCCCTGTTTATGACCTGGGAAAGCAGTGGAGGATGGCCCAAAGTCTTTGCCTGGTTTTGGCTGTGGCCATTGTGCCCATTTGGCGAGCGAGCCAGCCAACGGAAGCTCTTTCTCTGTCTCTCCTTCTCTGTAAATTTGCCTTTCCAATGAAAACAAATAAATCTTGAAAAAAAAAAAAAACCCTTAAGAACTTGATACTGTTCTGTTTAATTTGTCCTCCAGAGCTTGAAGAGAATGTCATGAAATAAAATTAGCCAATATCTAACATTCACGATGTGTGCAAATACAGGAATAAATGCAATGCTGCATTGCAATAATTTAAATCTGTCCTCCCTATTCATTGGTGGCTATATTGATGACCTAAATTTTGGGCATCCTTAATCTGAATTTTACCTTGGATCTCATCGTAACAGGCTTTTTGTTGCTCCCAAGCTTGTTCAAACTTAAATCAGTATGTGATTAAAACTATGATTGAAACTCAGGTTGCTTTAAAGTTAACTGCATTTTGAAAGATCCGAAGTTTTGGATCTTCTGATTTCCAGAATAGCCTCTAGCGTTTCTAACAGCCTGCATGCGAATCTAAGCAGCAAAGTCTCAAGGAGCACTATTTAAAAGGTTTAAAATGGACTTTATACAAGCAAGATGCAGTATGTTCATGTATCTGCAAATAATAATTTACCTCACAAAGAAATTTAGATCAAAAGAGTTTACCAGAAAAGAGACTATGTGTTTACTCAGGAAAACATGTTGAAAGATAGCTGAAAAATTAAACACAAAATGCTTAACGTCCTGTTTAGACAACATCAACCTAAGTTTTAGAGTTGCTTTTTTTTTTTCCTAGAAAGAATTCCTTTGTGTTTAGTGGAGAAAATTTTCTTAATTAATTTAGTAATCTTTCACAAGTGGACATCTAAGTCACACCATCTGGGCCTACTCAAAAGAGACAGTAAGTCCCTTAAGCCACCCTGGGCACGATGACTGCTACAGGTGGACCTGGAATGTACTAGTCTGAATGGAGATGTTCAGAAGCATGAAATGAACTTCAGCTTTTGAAGATTTTTAATGTTTAAAAGAATTTAAAGTATTAAAGTAAAATATGGAGCATATTCTGAAGCAATAATATTTTGGTTTTATTGAATTAAATGAGATTTTTAGAAGTAACATGTTTTTTAAAAATATTTTTTAGTTATATGTGAGTTGCATGGCATTTTATTGTCCATTGCTATTTATTGTCTATTGCTTAGAGATAACCCTTAAGTCATCATTTATGATAACTCACTAATGCATCCTGCACAGACATGCAGAAATATATTTTTTGGCCTGTTTTAAAATTTGTTTCATTTATCTCAGTACAAGTTATAATGAATTAGATGGGTTATTTGTTCCTGTCTTCTGGCTTGAACTCTGGACTTCAGATTTTTATGTAGATATAAGATTTGATCGAATTGATTGGATCTCAAGCATCCTATCAGAGAGCTGAATCTCAGTAATCAAAGTTGTGCACGAATGAACCTGGGCAACACCAATGCAGTGACGAGAGGACCAGAAGCCTGGTGTTTGGGGCTGCACACGTCTCACTGCATATGCTGTCCGAGCACAGGTCTTATTGCCCTTACTAAAGCACAGTAGTAAGATGAAAGCACTTCATCTTAGAGTTCCAGGAGCCACACAGGAGGATGGCCAGTGTGAAGTGGTTTCTATGGCTGCTAGTTCATCCATCACTAATCTCTTAGGCTGTTAATTCCCAAGAGGACATGAGGAGTAGTAGACCTTGTTGTGAATGTCAAACAAGTGTTATCTTAGGAAATCAAGGGGTCCTTCAGAGTTTCAAAGGCGCTTCATTGTTCAATCTCTACTGGACCCAACTTCTATCACTACTTCACATTCTACCACAGCCTAAGTCTGACATCTTCAACACACTCGTGTAGATATATATTTGAATAGCAGTTTTTAGTGACTAGTAGTGCCGCTCTGCCTCTAAACATAAATATACAATTATAGTAAAAATGGGAGCAGAAACTTTACCTCATGGTTACTCTCAAAGGGAAAAAGTGCAATTACTTAGAGATAAAACACGAAGCAGCAAGCCTTAAATTAGTAAGGCAAATTTTAGAAGAGAATGACCAGCTTTTTAAAAAGATGAAAAGTGGTAACCTTAAGCTGATGTACAATGGGAAGTATAAAATGTATGTATTCTAGCGCTTTTCCTAGGGCTCGATGTATAGTGTCAATTTTTACTTGTGTTTCAAATATATGGCTCATGCATCGAGGTGATTTTTATTAACGTCAATCCATCTCAATTTCCATCTCTGAATTTTCAGTTAGAATGCGTTCTTCTATACCATGGTGTATGTAAGGTATTGCTACCAGAAATTACCTCGAAATCTTCCGGCAAGAACTTCATTTTGTATTGGAGAACACCCAAACAAATAAGCACATGCTTGTTTTCTTTGAAAACATGTCACCTCAGTGTTCCTAACTACCTAGTTAACTGTGGGTTCTTTGCGGGCTTAAGGCGTCTCCCTTCATCCCTCATTATTCCTATTCTTGAGTGCCAGACCCCCTGCCTTGCACAACTCAGAGGGGGGACCTGAAAGCTTTCTAAAAACAGCCCAATTTCTCGCCTCTGGAGCAGTGAAAAGGACGCCCCGCCCCCACCTCTGACAAGAGATTTGATAGTTTCAAAGTCTTTAAGTCAAAGATTTAAGTCTCTAACCGCTCACCACCCAGGAGCCCCCCAAGGCTTAGAAGCCCCCTCCTATCCTGCCCTAACTACTTTGGACCGGTCCCGGAATCCTCGTCCCAGCCTTCAGTTCCTGTGGGTCCATACGCAGAAGTCACTCAGGACCTGTGTTACTTCCCTTGCGAAGAAACAGAATTATCGCCAAAATCTGGGTCGAAATGATTTCATTTTTGTTCCAAAAATAAGGGAAGCATGTACTTAACCATCCCTGAGAAAAAGAACTTTCAGGGATAATGGAGCGAATAGGTAATTTAGAAGAAAAACAGAAAGTGGTCTACAAGTGCCCTGGACTTCCTTGGGAGTTGGGGGAATTGGGGGCTTCTGGACAAGTTGTCTTTAGGGATACAGGAAAACTAACCGCAGAGTATGAAGCCTGAGGCTTCTCGGATCATTTTCGGACCAAACCCGAGTGATTTGGTGCAGTATATTTTAATATTTTCTTCTTTTTGTGAGGTGGAACAAACACAACTTGGGCGCAGCGCGCCGACTCCGAGCCTGCCAGGCGGCGGGCGCGCGGAGCACCAATCAGCGCGCGCCTGCGCTCTATATATACCAGGGCCCTGCCCCGCACTGCTCCATCGGTGCTGCGCCACTTGTACCCGAGTCGCAGATCTGCACCTCAGCATGTCGGAGACCGCTCCTGCTGCTCCTGCCGCCGCGCCCCCGGCGGAGAAGACCCCCGTGAAGAAGAAGGCGGCTGCCAAGAAGCCTTCCGGGGCGCGCAGAAAGGCGTCCGGGCCCCCGGTGTCCGAGCTCATCACCAAGGCTGTGGCCGCCTCCAAAGAGCGCAGCGGGGTCTCCCTGGCCGCGCTCAAGAAGGCGCTGGCGGCCGCCGGCTACGATGTGGAGAAGAACAACAGCCGCATCAAGCTGGGGCTCAAGAGCCTGGTGAGCAAGGGCACCCTGGTCCAGACCAAGGGCACCGGCGCCTCCGGCTCCTTCAAGCTCAACAAGAAGGCGGCTTCCGGGGAAGCCAAGCCCAAGCCTAAGAAGGCGGGTGCGGCCAAGGCTAAGAAACCCGCCGGGGCAGCCAAGAAGCCCAAGAAACCCGCAGGCGCGACCACTGCCAAGAAGACGGCCAAGAAGACCCCGAAGAAGGCCAAGAAGCCCGCGGCTGCTGCTGTCACCAAGAAAGTGGCCAAGAGCCCTAAGAAGGCCAAGGCTGCCAAGCCCAAGAAGGCGCCCAAGAGCGCTGCGAAGGCTGTGAAGCCCAAGGCGGCCAAGCCCAAGGCGGTCAAGCCCAAGAAGGCACCCCTCAAGAAGAAGTAGACTGTCTGCTTCGATTAAAAACCAAAAGGCTCTTTTCAGAGCCACCCCACTGATCTCAAAAGAGCTGAACACTTGGCCACCTTGGCTGCCCGGCCCTGCCCTCGCGCGCCGGGGCATCTCAGGGCGGAGACTGCGGGTGCGGAGCGGGGAGGGGTGCGCAGGGAGGCGGACTGGGAGCCCCGCGCTCCTCCCTGCCCACTAACTTCTCTCCCATGGCTGGTGCGCTTGAGGAATCCTGCCAGCCCCTCCCTGTTCCCGTGAACTGTAAAAACAACCGCAAATAATAAATTCAGCTGCTTGTTTAGCCCTGGTGTCTGGATTGGACTGAGTGGATTCAAAAGTCCCGCCCTGCTTGGGGGTTGGCGCTCTCCCTCAGCCCGTGCTGTGTGCCCGCTATGGTATTGGGTGGTGGCTGCTGTGGTGTCTATTGTTACCTCAGCTGAAGGCTTGTCCTTTGGCCAGCTGTAGAGAAAGGTGTTCAGGATGCTAGACGTTTTAAATGTCTCCGAAGATCCCGTGTCGCCGGGAGCCACGTAAGAGGCTACGCCCTTGCCCGGCCTGCCGCCGGCGAATTCCGGGCGTGGCAACAGAAAACACCCCCAAAGCGGTGGGCCGGCGGCGTCCGAGCTTTTTTTCCTCCTAGCAAACTCTGGATCGTCACACCGTAAAGGTGGGATGAGTTTCAGCCATTAAAAACATCTAGTCGGCCATTTTGTCCGATCTCGATCGTTACCGATCTGAATGCAATTTTAATAAAATTCAACTTCTAAAAATCGAAGGTGTTCGTGCGCATTGTTGGGGGATCCAGGTGTTTCCTCGAGGGAGATAAATACTGGTTATTGAAAAGGTACGTATGATTGAGGGTGGGGAGGTGGCAGGAGGCGTCTGATTCGCGTTATTAGCAACGTAGTCCGGAGTGGAGTTGTTTCACAAGTTCGGCTTTCTTTAGGATACACAAGTCCAACGTTCTGTTAAATTCTTGTGGACAGATTCTGGCCAACCAAGGTGTAGCAAGTGTTTTTGTAGATCTTAGGGCCCCTACTTGAAGAAGGGATCCATTAGTGACAGTTTTGTCCACCAGGAGAGAAAACAAGAGCGAAAAACAGGAAGGCAGAAAACACCACGTTGCTTTGTTTTCCCCAATAGTTTTTTGTTGTTGTTGCTAATTTTACATTAGCATGAACTAATTCAGCCCTCTTGAGTGAAGATTTAATATTTGCACCTATTTTATTCGAGATAATTTGTGAACTCTTGTTTATACTTTTCCTTCCTTCCTAGTTTGGATTGCATTTTTGTCACTGACTAAACTATTAGACCAAGGGTATTAAAGTGCGGGTTTGTTTTTGCGACTTTGGTGTTTTTGGTCATTGTTAGTGTAAGATAAGGATCATATTGTTCTAAGTTTGTTCACAATGTCATTTCCAGTACTTAGCAAACCTAACTCAGCAGATACCCAATGAACTCTCTAATAGAAGTTTTAATAGCTGATAGATTCCTCTGATTAGTTGCCATTTTCAGAATTTTTCTGCTTACTCTAATTTGGGGGAGGGTTGCTTTTCCCACATGAACTTTTACATGCATCCCCTTTCACTTAATCCTTGTCCTTGTAGCTGCATCAGGATTTTATGAAACTTCTTAAGTTAATTTGGGGAAGGTATTGAGTTTCCCTACTCAAAAGTTATGTTTTTTTCCACTTGTTTAAGTATTTTTGTTCTCCAGAGGAGTTTTACTTTTTTTTTTTTTTGCTAAATGAATCTTGGTGTTTTTATTACCTGTATTTCCAGGTATTTTAGCTTTGTTGCTGTCATTAATGGCAATCTACGTGGACCATCATCTCATGCACAGCATGGTGAAGTTACTTAGTTTTTGGATCAATGCACAAGTGAATTAACCTGGGAACTACAACGCATAGCCAAGTGAGCTGAATTCAAATGAAATTTTAAGCATTCTACAAGCCATGAAATCTGTTTTAATTATATGCTTTATTTTTCAGGATATGCAAAATATTACTCACCCTGTAAGTCAAGATAAAGCACTTATGAAGTATTATTACCTTTTTCTTTCTTAAACCAGTTCTTTCCAGTCTCCTTTGTACTTGTAGGGTGCAGCCTGACATGATCGTAGTCATTTTGATTGAAACCACGGTCATGTCCTTTGGATAACCCTGATAGTTATCAAGACAAAATCTCTGGCTTGCCTTACTGGCCAGACCCTGGAATGTTCTTTCATGCCTGAGGTATTAATTTTCTTTTAAAGATTTATTTGTTTTTATTGGAAAGTCAGATATGCAGAGAGGAAGAGAGAGAGGAAGATCTTCCATCTGATGGTTCACTCCCCAAGCAACTACAATGGCTGGAGCTGAGCCAACCTGAAGCCAGGAGTCAGGAGCTTCCTCTGAGTCTCCCACATGGGTGCAGGGTCCCAAAGTTTTGGGCCATCCTTGACTGCCTTTCCTGCAAGCAGGGAGCTAGATGGAAAGTGGGGTCACTGGGATTAGAACTGGCGCCCATAAGGGATCCTGGAGCATTCAAGGCAATGACTTTAACTGCTACGCTATTGCGCCAGGCCCATTAATTTTTTTGAAGTTTTTTTTTTTTTAATCTGAAATTTAGAGACACAGAAAAAAAAAGGTATTCCATCCACTTTCACCTCCCTATTGGCCACAGAGGTCTGAGCTGGACCAGGTCTAAACCTGAAGCCAGAATCTTCAGAGTCTCCCACATGGATACAGAAGCCCAAGCACAGATTCTGTTCTGCTGCTTTCCCAGGCACAGTTTAGGGAGCTGGATCACAAGCAGGTCATCCAGATTTCATACCTCTGCCCATTTGGAATGCAGCTCGTAATTTAACCCAATATGCTACAGCACCAGCACCAAAATGTATTAATTATTCAAGAGTAAGTCCAAATGCACTTAAGTTAGCTGTGGGACACTTCTGTCTATCCTAACATATAAGCCTGACTACTGAGCAAAGATGTATATGTTTCCCAGCCAGGAAAGTGAGATATACAGAGAGGAAGAGAGACAGAGAAGAAGATCTTCCAACTGATGATTCTGTCTCCAAGCAATTACAACTACTGACGCTCAGGCTATCCGAAGTCAGGAGCCAGGAACTTCTTCAGGTCTCCCACACAGGTGCGGGGTCTCAAGGTTTTGGGCAGTCCTCAACTGCTTTCCCAGGCCACAAACAGGGAACTGGATAGGGATTAGAACTGGCACCCATATGGGATCCTGGCGGATGCAAGGTGAGGACTTTAGCTACTAGGCTACCATGCCAGACCCAGTTCATCTCATTTCAAAGTATTTGCAGTGGGATTGTGGCTTTTGGGCATAATTATAACAAAGGCTTCACCCTTTCACACACACACACACACACACACACACACATGAAATTGTGAGTTAACTGTGATTAGTCTTGTGAATAATAACATTTAGGGAAGAATCTTAGGAGCCCACTGATGACAGATGATTTGGAATGGTGGGCTATTGATCCAGCTAACAAGGGAGTGTCTGTCTACCCAACCGACTCAGAGACATGCTGTTAGGAGGGACCCCTTTCCAGTTTACCGTCAGTGTCCCTTAGAGTGTGAGTATGCTGGATTTACCTGCTCACAATGGGTCCTAACAGGGAACGTCTGCTGCAATCACATTTGCATAGATGAAGGATGCTCATTTGTCAATTAAACCTGTTTCTTATATTTTCAGAGTTGAAATTGAATGTCTCCAATTTTATCTAGCATTTAGATAGCTTTCATGCCTTACTTCCTCAATATTATCCATTTTAAAAGTTTGTTTCCTCACAATTGTTCAGATAAGTGACCAATGTGGGCACAGTGAGCTGTTCCTTTGAATGTAAAAAAGGACTGTTTTAAGACAAATTTGGTTTCCTTAATGTTTATGAAACTGTTAGTGGGGGAGATCTTTTCCTTTACTAAGTTTGTTGCCTGGGATTGGTGAATTTAACTGAAGAGGAACAGGTTTGCAGCAGAAAAAAGACTGACAATTAATCCATGTTTTTATATGCAAAATGTTTGCAGTTCTTAACAAAAACTGGTTTGGGCTTCAAGGGAGATAAATGTGGAAGTTTCCAGGAAATATATGGACAGACCTAATGAAAGATAATGACTGTTTTAGTAAGGTTTGTTTTTGCAGACTCATCTTGGTGTCAACTCCTCATTTCTAGTCCTTTTCCTGGTATAATTGTCCTTTTCTTTCACAAAAGAGATTCATGCAACTTTCATAAGGGAAAGTTAATGTCCTATTTTTAGTTATTAAGAGACAAGAAATTTTTCCTGCGTCTATTCATTCTCAATTGCCTTGCACTCAAAATAATCCTTCTGTCAAAGTGGGCACAGTTAGGAGAGAAGCATAACAACAACAACAAAACAACAAAATAACAGTGATTACTTGTCACATTATTCCGTGATTTCATACAGTTCTCTCATGTTCAAAAATAATAATAAAAAAATTATTCTCATAGATGTAAGTTTTTTATTCTGACGGAAATACAGTATGAGACTTCATGGATGAAATCCATGCCCAAAGGTGAATGGGTCTAAATCAAAGATTATTACATTACTACAGGATTCCAAAAGAACAGGGATGTGAAGATTATCTCAACAGATGGTTGAGAAGAATGAAATAGAGGTAGGTGTTTGTCTTGCTGTTTGCGCTCCCCACAAGGTGCTTCTCTGGATGTCATATTCCCTGTGGTGCGCCTGGGTTCAAGTCCAACTTCTGCTTCTACTTCTACCGTCAGCTTCCTTCCTGACAACTCAGTTTGGGAGACCCACATTGATTCCAGCTGATTGATGCCTTTGGCTTGTTCAATCTTGTTTGCTGCCAGCATGTAGAGAATGAATAGCAGAGAGATGGCCAAGCGGCTAAAGTCTTCCTCTTGATCGTGCCTGGATCCCATATGGTCACCGGTTCTAATCCCAGCAGCCCTGCTTCCCATCCAACTCCCTGCTTGTGGCCTGGGAAAGCAGTCCAGGACAGCCTAAAGCCTTGGGACCCTGCACCCCGTGGGAGACTTGTAGGAAGTTCCTGACTCCTGTCTTTGGATTGGTGCAGCACTGGCTGTTGCAGCCACTTGGGGAGTGAATCATTGGACGGACTTTGTGATAAAAAAAATAAATCTTAAAAGAAAAAAAAAATTGCAGGTGCCAGATCTATCTGTAAAAACAAAGCAATAAAAACATGATAAAGGAAAACAAGGGGTACATACTATTCTATATTTCTGTAAAATGTAAAAAGATGGTGACAGCCAAAACTTCGGTTTCTCTTGCACTAGATTTCGGCTTGTGCACCCAAAGTTAACAATATTGTCTAGACCTCAGAACACTACCTCATTTAACACTAAGGCACTTAGCAATAGGAAGAGAAACAGAAACTGCTTGTACATTTGCTAAGATTTTACCTGAAAGACGCTGAACAAAAGATCTTTTGTGAGAAAATGAGATTTGCTTACAACAGTCTTAATTGCTATAGGTACATAATCTCAAAAACCTAAACAAACATTAACCCTTGTCCAACTTTTTATGTGCAAGGCAGTATTCAGAAAATAAGCCACATTTAGGGACACAACCCACCCTAGTGAGGTGATTAGCAGACGGATAAGAAAAAGCGCATTAATACTTTAATTTTGGGGGTCCATAATTACCTAGCGGCCAAATTCCTCCCTTGGGTTCAGCCGGGATCCCACTTCCCTTCCAGCCCCCGCTTGCGCTGGAAAAGCCCTAGATGACAGCCCCCACAAGACCTGTGGCCCCGGAGAAATGCTTCTACAAACCAAGATCCTGGCTCCATATCAACTGAGCCCTACGACTTTCCAACACACTTTAAAAATTTTGGGCTTTGTACACTGTTACAACTACTTTTAAGTGTCATTGTGGGTGGCTCTGAAAAGAGCCTTTTTATTTTCGAGGCAATTTGCCAAATTTAAGCCCGCTCCCCGCGGATGCGGCGCGCCAGCTGGATGTCCTTGGGCATGATGGTGACGCGCTTGGCGTGGATGGCGCACAGGTTGGTGTCCTCGAAGAGCCCCACCAGGTAGGCCTCGCACGCCTCCTGCAGCGCCATGACGGCCGAGCTCTGGAAGCGCAGGTCCGTCTTGAAGTCCTGCGCGATCTCGCGCACCAGCCGCTGGAACGGCAGCTTGCGGATCAGCAGCTCCGTCGACTTCTGGTAGCGCCGGATCTCGCGCAGCGCCACCGTGCCGGGCCGGTAGCGGTGCGGCTTCTTGACGCCGCCCGTGGCCGGCGCGCTCTTGCGGGCCGCCTTGGTGGCCAGCTGCTTGCGCGGGGCCTTGCCGCCGGTCGACTTGCGGGCCGTCTGCTTCGTGCGAGCCATCTCGACAGGTCGTCAGAGACTAGAACTGGAAAACTGGCGTTAAAGCTGCCTTTAAATATTGTTTGAAGTATTCCGATTGGCTTCTAGCTAGTCAAAAGATTCGCGCGCTTAGTACTGATTGGCTGAGAAAACGACTCAAATGATTGGTCGAGCAAGAGAACTTAATTGGAAGAATTGTTGCGTCATCCTGCTTGGGGTTGCAGTTCGCTAAATTCTGGTGTAGCCTAGCAAAAGGGCGGTTCCTCTTTTACTTGTCTGTAATGGGTGGAACCAGGACTGCAGTCTGTCAAAACCATCACACGTCACAGACCACAACGTCATGTTCCTCATTAACCAACAGTGAGATGCTTCAGTTTTGCATATGCTGCACTTCAGTGAATCAACGCTCTGTTCGTGGATTGACACACACCAGTCCCACCTTCTACCCATTAAAACAAAGTACAGGCTTTCGTTAAATGTTTTCCCATACGACTTAGTACTCATGGTGGTTATGAGACCAAAAGAAAATCCCCACGACATTATGTTAACAGCTTCTCTTGTGAAAGAGTGGACGGCCCTGAAAAGAGCCTTTTAGGTGTTTAAATGTGAGACTTAAGTCCTTATTGGACTTCACTTTCCCTTGGCCTTGTGGTGGCTCTCGGTCTTCTTGGGCAGCAGCACGGCCTGGATGTTGGGCAGAACACCACCCTGGGCAATAGTGACCTTGCCCAGCAGCTTGTTGAGCTCCTCGTCGTTGCGGATGGCCAGCTGCAGGTGGCGCGGGATGATGCGCGTCTTCTTGTTGTCGCGCGCCGCGTTGCCCGCCAGCTCCAGGATCTCAGCCGTCAGGTACTCGAGCACGGCCGCCAGGTACACGGGAGCGCCCGCTCCGACGCGCTCGGAGTAGTTGCCCTTGCGCAGCAGCCGGTGCACGCGGCCCACGGGGAACTGCAGCCCGGCCCGGGAGGACCGAGTCTTGGCCTTGGCGCGAGCCTTGCCTCCCTGTTTCCCGCGACCAGACATGGCAATTATAAATTATGTTACCAGGAAACAATTTCCTTTGTGGATTGGACTTTCATAGTCAGTAGCGGGATACAATAATACGTTTTCCTATTGGTCAACATGTACTCAGTGATTCTACCCAATAAGAAAAGGCAGCCTGCATACTCTATTTGCATATCCTAATCTCTTCAGTGGTTTGTTCCTATCCAATCAGAAGCAAGACTTCTCAAATCCACATTTGAATCTTGAAACTTAAGACAGGGATTCAAATCTAAATACAGTGTCAACTGTAAATGTATTATTAACTGCGCTAGGTTCTGATAGTTACCAATCCGTTTGCCTTCAAAGTCAGCTCCCTCTTCCAGAAAAGGTTCCAAAAAGGCCATTACAAAAGCGCAATAGAAACAGGGCAGGGGGTGCTGGGGTCCGTGCAGTGGATGTGGATGACAGGAAGGTGTGAAGAGAACAGCTGCCCTGCTTGGCAGGGCCCAGGGGAGCTTCTGGCAGTTTGGCAGGTGGATTTCTCTCCAACCACCTTGATGCAGTCTCATCCCCCATCTGCATGGACACTCAACCACTCCATTAAGAATTCTGTAATCTAGCGAGGCATTGTTGCTTGCCTCTGTGAGATGGTTTTTGCAATGGATGTGAGCTTGAGAGTTAATGCTATTGATAGTGTCCGGGTGAGTGGGCCTTTAACTGTGCACAGGAGTACAATTAACCCCATGCTATTTCTGGACACCTTATTGTGTGCCTACCCATTGCCCTGGAATTTGGCCCAGACATGTAGCATGCCTTCTTGGAAATGGCTTGATAAAAACCTTACAAACTAATGTAGGGATGGGATATAAAGGGTAAACTGCTATGGAAAAAAAAAATAGTTACTGCGGCCTTAAAGGTTAGCCTGTTGTTGCAACTCTTTAGAGCATAGAAAATGTACTTGTTTTAGTTGCTTTCATAATTTTTTAACTGGAGGAAATACAGGGTGATTTTATTAATGTCATAGAGATATGCTTTTGATTATTGTTTGTTTATGAGGTTTTAGAGCCTGCAGTTGTAGGGGGATTTAATGTCTGAAACTTTTTATTTGGATCTTTTGTATTTTCTGTTTTGATGTATTTCTCCCATTAAGTGATAGGTAAGTTATGAAAATAAAATTGTAGTGGGAATGTATTACTGATAGGTAGGTGACTCCATGTGCCTTGGCCTTGGAGTCCTGGCTGTTACTTAATGGCTTCTAATGACGAATGAATAACAGCTTACTTTGAATAAATGGATTTTAGTAACTTACAGAATTATCTTTAAGAGTATCCAGTTGACCAAGAAGTAAAAATTAATTGAACATCTGTTCATGCTGGCTTAGTTCTGAAGTTAAAAATAGTAAAATCAAATGTTTGTGCAGAGGTTTGCGATGTGTCTGAGTAAATAAAAAGAACAGCTTCTTGAGCTGTTACAAGAGGGCACCAAGAGTCACTGTCCCTGTCTTTAGTTATCACTGACCCCACACACCTTTCTTGAGCTCAGAACTCAGCTGGAGCTGGACTCCAGCAAGGAAGCGCAGGCGCAGCCGCAAGGAGAGCTACTCGGTGTACGTGTACAAGGTGCTGAAGCAGGTGCACCCGGACACGGGCATCTCGTCCAAGGCCATGGGCATCATGAACTCGTTCGTCAACGACATCTTCGCGGGCGAGGCATCGCGCCTGGCGCACTACAACAAGCGCTCGACCATCACGTCCCGGGAGATCCAGACGGCCGTGCGCCTGCTGCTGCCCGGCGAGCTGGCCAAGCACGCCGTGTCCGAGGGCACCAAGGCCGTCACCAAGTACACCAGCTCCAAGTAGACTGGGCATGTCAGCGTTTGTACTTGCATTTAACTTCAAAGGCTCTTTTCAGAGCCACCTATTTTTTGTTAAAACCGCTGTAAGTAGGATAATATTACTTCACTGGTATAATTCCTCTTGCTGTTACTTAAATTATAAGCAAAATGCCTAGCTAGGTAAGACAGACGACACAGGTATTCGAGCGTGTCCTTAGTTTGCCTGGCTTACATTCTTATTTTGTGTGCACCCTCAATTCTGACTAATTGGCAGACTCGCTCCTGGTTTCTGAGAGGTTACATTTCTGATGAAGACGAATTTCTGTACTGCCTCCTGAATCATTTGGGATGAAGCATACAGGTAGGACCCTAAAGTGATTTTGGAATGCCCAGAGATTTGGCTGTCAGCCTTGCGTAAGAGTAGACTGGGTTGATCTAGGTCCTTAGGCCTGGTCCATAGTTAAGTGGGCATTTGCTTTTATTATTTTTATTTATTTTGAGATTGCCTGAAACCTCCAACTTCAAAAATGAAACAAAGTGAAATAAGTTGTGCTTGTAATTACTTGCCTGTTGTCACTAACCAAGGTTGCTAAATATTTCTTGCCTTTTAGGAATCCCTGAGTCACAGATATGGTTGAATTCATGAAGACATGGACATGGATTTTGACAAGAGTCTGGGAAGGGAAGAAGATTTGAATTTCACACCTTTTTCTATCCCCTGCCATCCCCTGTCATTGGGGGGACCCTAGATGAAGGAATGAAGCTGACAGTGGGCATGGTTTCCTTTGTAATCAATTTTTCCTTTTTTGTTAAAAAAAAAAAAGATTGAGAAATAACAGTCAGTAAGAGCCTAAGACAGTTTGCGGCAGAGGCCAGGAGAGAGGCAGGATAGTTGTTCATGGGGAGAAAAATGCAACTGTTGGTCACTAAAAAAGCATGGGGGACTATTTTTCTTTCATTGATAAGCACTTTCTGTAGGTGGCATCTAAAGCAATCGCTTCAAAAACAGAAAGGTTCTCAAACAAAATGGTTCCCTTCCCATGTCAGCACTCGCTAACACCTCCTACGTACATGCAAAATATTGTGAGAAACATTTGTCCAGAAAGACTCCCCGTTCACACACACACACACACACACACACACACACACACACACACACACACGGAGAAGAAATGTACAAACCCAGGCTGCAGTTTGAGTTGTTGACCTTGCAGACCTGGAGGGTCTTGCTCTGGGAGGGGTGAGACTCATTACCATATTATTTTAATTTTCAAATTGACCTCTGGGTTCATAACTTTGCCAGCCTCCTTCCTTTCTCCCTCTCCGTGGGCAACGCCAGCGTCGCCGAGTACCCCGAGCCGAGCGGAGGGACTAGGGTTATGAGACAGACAAAACACACAACACACAGTGGGTCATTCTTGTGAGGAGAATGCCGATTTATTTGAAGTCAAGCTGCATCTTTTATAGTCTGCTTGGCCCCTCCAGGCATTTCCCAAAGCTGAAGCAACACCTAAGCTCCCCCAAGGGTATGTAAAAAGGGGGGAATCAGGGAGGAGGGAACTTGCCAGCCAAGCCGGGGGCTGAGTGCATCAGGCCAACATTGCCTGTTACACCTTAAGAAGTTAAGCTGTGGTGTTAACCCTTGGGAGACCGGGGCCTACACCTCTCCCTTTTCCTTTTTCATTTTAAATAACTAAGTCAAGAATACATGATATCACAAACCAAAACCAAAGCCACAAGCTCTCCATGTTGAATCGAGACCTTTTTACTTATACATGATGATACTTAGCCGGTCCTTAATGAATAAAAGGAATTTTTGAAGGGAAAAAAAAAATCATCTTTATACACTCCCACATTTTCTGCAGAGTTACAATCTCTGGGTTACAACAGAAATGAGCGAAAACAACCCTACTACATGCCTAGTTCTTTCTTTATAGTTTGTGGACTCCAGAAGACTCTGAAGCCCTGAATTTCTAGAGGGAGGAGGGACAGGGTGCCCTGGTTGTAGCTCTGGCTGTTGAGAAATGAATAAGTGAGTGGGTCTTGAAGGAACATTTACTTTGTAGAGGTGGAACAGAATGTTAATTTAAGAGAGGCTGGCTAAGAATTAGGAAAAGAAGATGTCTACAAAGACCCCGATGAGAAAATGTTCAGAGGGATCTCAGGATTTCGGAAAGAAAGGCTTGAGGAGATGAGGAACTCAGAGTGTGCCCTGGGTCTACAGCAGGCAACAGGATCGTTGCCTCCCAGCACAGCTTTCAGCACCCCCCGCAGGCTGGCAGCACTCCTGTGCTTTGCTTGGCTTCTCACTTCCATGAGGGAATATAAATGTTAATGAATTTTTAACTTGTTGTGATAGTAATACTTGCCTACTGTTAAAAAACATTTTAAAGTAATGTAGTTATGCGGTTCTGGATATACTATCCCCTAATACAAGGCTTTGACATTTGAGAAAACAACAGAAGCTGCGAGGAGTTTGTACTCATCTAAACCCTTCTCTTCTGAAAAAGGACATGAGATTGGAACAGAGTCCTCTGACCTGAAACGAGCCTGGCGCCATCCCCTGAATTCTCCCTTGTAGTCGCATCACAGGGATGTTGCTGCGGCTCTACGGCACACTCCTCTTACCAGTCATGTGCTCACGACAGTTCAGCTACCGTAGCAATCACGCAGATGTCCTGTTTCCTTGGCTCTTTATTCTATGGACTCCTTTCCATAGGATAAAAAAAAAATTATGCTGAATATATTTGGCTGCATTTGTCTTATGAGTCTGTTGTAGGGCTGTCACTCAATGGCCTAGTGATAGGGAAAGAAAAGAGAAAATTGTTCTTTCCTACATGCATAGAACCAGTTGTAATTCCATTATGCAGAACATTTGGTGATTTTTGTTTTCAGAAATTTTAGCTTGTCAAATCTATACTTACATGTGTCCTATCACAAAATCATTTTGCCTTTTTTTATTATCTTTTAAGATTAATAGTTTGTATTGATCATACTGATGAATGCATTTCATTGTAAAGAATTAGGTAACTTGCCTTTCTTTAATCACCATACCTTTAGCAAACATTGTAAAACCATGGTGTTTTTTGACACTTTTTAACACAATTCAAGAGATTATTTTAGGTAAATATACAGATGGAATGCATGCATTCAATGGACTTTAATGTGATTTTGTTTCTTAATACAGGTACCCAGTTGCCTTCTTGAAAAGCTGTTTACAATCTCAAAAACATGCTACATTGCCAACTTCCAAAAGTATGTTTGAATGGTGGGCGTTGTTCATCTTTAAATATTTTTGAATTGCAGAGTTGAGCAATTAAATCCAAATGTTTTATTTTTTATCTTTACAAGCCTAGGTTCCATTTTTCAAAATCAGTCTAGCCAATATGCCTTTTTAAATAGTGAGACCTTCTAGTCCTGGTGAGGTCCTGGCCACACCTTCAGGTGGACGGCACCAGCATTGCCCACCCATTTCCTAAGTGATTAAGAGACCACCGATGGTGAATATCTTACCTGTAGGTTCTCTGCTCAACTTGGAGGGGTCAGGGAATGCTTAAAACCCCAAGACCCTTCCTCAAATCTTTGGTGTCTTTCTCTCCCTCCCCTTTCCAGAGGCACCCCACCTCCCGGCGTTTTAATGAGAGGTGTTTTCACTGTCCCTCTCCCTTCCCTGCTCACCTGGTTCCTTCGCAAATAAACTTTTCTGTCTGCAACAGATTCCCAGCTTTTTATTTCTAACTAAGCTAAGGAAAGAACCCACTGGGCATTTCTGATAACAAGTAACGTGTTCAGGTCATAGAAAATTAATGTAATATTTGCTATCTTCAGCTTAATAGTGTGAAGAGTAAAACCCTTGCCAGATTGGAATCAGAAATATTTTAAGTTGTCTGTATAGGAAGAGTTCTCTGCCTTCCCCCATTTGCTGAAATGCCCCACATACTCTACCAGGACACTATATTTGTCACCAGGTAGACTTGTAAACCCTTAGGCTGGAGAAGGCCCCAGAGGGATCTATGTTACAAACTAGAGTGATTAGCCTTTTTCGTGACTTTTCCATACATTTGCCTTCCCACAAATTGTTGACCCTTTGCTCTATTTCTGGCTGCCCTGGGAATTACTTGAGTGGCATTTTTTAACAAGTTTCATTTATTTTATCTTTAGGAATTATCAATAGTCTTTGGAAACTGTCTAATTTCTTTAGTGTTTGTCATATATATTGCATGCACAAACACATATACAGATAGGCCTACTGATTGTCAACCTATCTCAGGGATGCAGGGAGCTTCAGATTCTCTTGCTTTTGTGGCTACTGGAGCTGGTGTTGTTTTGGGGAAGCAAGTACTTCTTTTCAAATTTGTTTGGGATGAGTAACTTCAAATATCTCCATTTTTGGAATTTAGCTTCCACATCTTTTTCAAAAACAGTTGCCTAGAATGTCCTTTTGTGAGACACCTACAGATGGTATTCCTGAAGCTGTTAGGTGCTTGTTGATTTCTTTCACTCCAGCTACCCTGGATAAGTGGAAAACTTTGTTCTTACTCATGCCACAGTATAGATCATTGATGTGACTATCTGCACTGCTGCGCCTGGCTTTCAGTACAGCCGTTCATCTTAGTTTCTATTGTATCTAAACCTGTGTGGACTCACTGCCCTATCCAGAAGTGACTGTAATTTTATTTTCGGAAAATAATATAGCTATGTCTTTTGATTTTAGTTCCTTGATGTTGCCCTGGCTTCAAATAGAAATGTACATTGCTGAAGTAGTTAGTGTATGGAGCTGGCTCTTTTACCTTCCTCAAGCCTAAATTCAAGGATTTTTTGTTCCCTTCTCTCATTTTGTGAGGCTTAGAATTAAAGCAAGACATAGCCCAGAAAAACTTCTTTTAGTGGTACTTTCCCTCTCTGCCCACATTTCTCTCAACTATCACTTTTCATTTAAATTTTTTTCATACCACTCATCATATATGTTTGTACATACATGCATTTATATCATTGCTTATCTCATTGTGTAGCTTCTCCCAGTGTTTGCTCACAGATACCTAGTAAGTATATAGTGAATAAATGCAGGGTGCAATTCTCCCACATCAAGTCTCTTGATCGCTGCAATTTATATTGCATTGATTAATAATCCTCTTCATGCTCCCTTATGGAATTTGTTCAGAAATTGTCCTGAGTTTGTTGTTTTCTAAATCTGTTAATTACAACACACCACCCCCCACCAAAGCATTAATAGTTGTTACCACAAGTTCAGTGTTTTAATCTTGAGGCAGGAATGAGCAGCTGCAAAAAGCCATTTGGCTGGAATATCTAAGAGCTAAATCACACTGTAGACTTTTCCTTTTCTTTTTAAAGATTTTTTTTTTTTTTTTAACCAAAAGCAGAGCACAAGATCCTGCTTCCACTGGGTTAGCATCCAGAGGGACACAGCGGCCATAGCTGGGCTAGACCAAAGGTACTAGCCAGGAGCTTCATGTAGAAATCTCACACAGGGGCAGGAGCCCAAATTCCTGGGCAAACTTTTGATGCTTTTCTCATGCCATTAACAGCGGGCTAATAAGAAGTTCAGCAGCAGAAACAGGAACCAGTACCCACAGGCAATGCCAATCTCGTGGGAGGCCACAAAACCGGAATTCAAATTTATCAGTTACACTTAAGCATCTACCTCCCTTAATTCTACGCTTAGTTTGAATTGCTTGAAGGTATTATTCTATATCAGGCTACATTATGACAAGTCAAAAAGAGGACAAATATCCCTACATCCTGTTTAACAATCCTATTTTGAGAAAAAGAAGTAGATTCAATTAGTTTGTAACACACCAACACAACACGAGACGCGATTACTGATTGGATCTAACATAATCCCCACGCACAGTAAGGATATACGCAAATGAAGGATCCAAATTCTCACATATGATTGGGTGAGGTAGACTAGCCAATGGGAGAATCGCACACAGGCTCCCTTCCGTCACTATAAATATATCTCTTGCCACTGACGTTTCTGTATTTCTCCAAGCTTTTTGTTAGCTTCTTCGTTCGGCTAAGAAATGTCGGGTCGCGGGAAGCAGGGAGGCAAGGCTCGCGCCAAGGCCAAGACTCGGTCATCCCGGGCCGGGCTGCAGTTCCCCGTGGGCCGCGTGCACCGGCTGCTGCGCAAAGGCAACTACTCCGAGCGCGTCGGAGCGGGCGCTCCCGTGTACCTGGCGGCCGTGCTCGAGTACCTGACGGCTGAGATCCTGGAGCTGGCGGGCAACGCGGCGCGCGACAACAAGAAGACGCGCATCATCCCGCGCCACCTGCAGCTGGCCATCCGCAACGACGAGGAGCTCAACAAGCTGCTGGGCAAGGTCACTATTGCCCAGGGTGGTGTTCTGCCCAACATCCAGGCCGTGCTGCTGCCCAAGAAGACCGAGAGCCACCACAAGGCCAAGGCAAAGTGAGATATCAGCATCCCTTACTTAGTCATCCTAAACACAAAGGCTCTTTTCAGAGCCACTCACAACATAAGAGAGGGGCTGCATGCTTTTAAATGTCATCAATACAAAACGTTCTTTCTCAGAAATTCTGTGCTAGTGAGCCGACATACCCAAGCGTTCTTCCTTTCCCCAATATTTAAGCTTAAGAGTTAGCCGAGTATTTTTGAAAGGCGATTGTGACAGTGAAAGCGAAGCTTGGGGTTTTTTTTTTTTTCTCAGTAAGCTTTCATTTTTGGATAGTCAGATAAATGCAGACAAGAGAGGGAGATACTCCGTTCGTTGATTTAGTCCCCAGCCGTCGGAGCTGTGCAGATCCGTAGTCAGGACCCTCTACCAGTTCTCCCATGCAGATGCAAGGTGCAAAGGCTTTGGGCTGTCCTCTACCGCGTTCCAAGACAACAAGCAGGAAACTGGATGGGAAGTAGGTCCTCCCGGATTAGAACCGGCGCCCAAATGGGATCCTGGCGTGTTCAATGCGAGGACTTAAGCCGCTGGGTTACGGCGCTGGGCCCCGAGCATTGTTTAAGCAATAATTTGTAGTGTTCAGTTTATGTAAGAATATTTTCCGTAGTTGCCTATACTTTTCAAATGAAATTCACAATGATAGCCTTTAAAAAACTGAACTGGTTATTTTTGTGTGTGTGGAGAGTATCGTCTTCCCTGAAGCTTGCACTGTAAGCATTTTTGCACAAAACAGATAAGGGATGCAAAAGGGTAAATAATGTCATGTCCGTTCACCAGATAGATAGTACCGTATAGTGAACCAACATGAAAGTGATTGGCCAGAGATAAACCAATCCAGGCAAGGCGCGCGAGATTTTGAATGATCTCGGGCCCAATAGTAGCTGGCCAGATTCTATAAAAAAGAGATGGGGTTTCCTTTTCCTCATAGGCTTATCTAGGCACACAGCAAACTTCCTCTCGCCATGGCTCGCACGAAGCAGACGGCCCGCAAGTCGACCGGCGGCAAGGCCCCGCGCAAGCAGCTGGCCACCAAGGCGGCCCGCAAGAGCGCGCCGGCCACGGGCGGCGTCAAGAAGCCGCACCGCTACCGGCCCGGCACGGTGGCGCTGCGCGAGATCCGGCGCTACCAGAAGTCGACGGAGCTGCTGATCCGCAAGCTGCCGTTCCAGCGGCTGGTGCGCGAGATCGCGCAGGACTTCAAGACGGACCTGCGCTTCCAGAGCTCGGCCGTCATGGCGCTGCAGGAGGCGTGCGAGGCCTACCTCGTGGGGCTCTTCGAGGACACCAACCTGTGCGCCATCCACGCCAAGCGCGTCACCATCATGCCCAAGGACATCCAGCTGGCGCGCCGCATCCGCGGGGAGCGGGCTTAAACGCGACCATCCTTGCTTAAGTTATAAACACAAAGGCTCTTTTCAGGGCCACCTAATTGTTTCAATGGAAGTTGCTGTAATCATTTGTAATAAGATTCTACCCTCCGACACCGGCAAGTTTAGGATTTAGTGCTAACTCCAACAGGTTTTTGGTAGGAGCCTTTTTGAGATAAAAGAACTGGATTAAGTTGAAGGACTCGCCACACCATTCAGTTTCCCGTCTATAACGTAAACGCTCTTAACTTTTTATAAAAAGTTGCTTCGCATTTTTAAAACCAATCTTGCAGGGGTAGTCTATTTCTCCCCGGAATGAAGAAAACCCGTGGTTTTAACTAAATTTGACACCAGTTTCAAATTTACGTAGCGTGTAAGCAGCACTGAAAAAAGTTGTTAATGGACGCTTTACAAATTTTTTTTTTTTTTTAAACGCGTTTCTAGAATTTGGGTGTCTGCCAGTGGAGGGGCGGGGCTGAGGCTCCCGCGCTTCATTACACAGTCCGCGCGTTCTGTTCTCAACGAGGTCCGAGAGCTGCCTATAATGCCCCTGGTCCGACTTGCAGTGCCATTCTCAAACTTGCAGGAGAAGATTCAGCATGTCTGGTCGCGGCAAGGGAGGCAAAGGCCTTGGCAAAGGCGGCGCCAAGCGCCACCGCAAGGTGCTGCGCGACAACATCCAGGGCATCACCAAGCCCGCCATCCGCCGCCTGGCGCGCCGCGGCGGCGTCAAGCGCATCTCGGGCCTCATCTACGAGGAGACCCGCGGCGTGCTCAAGGTCTTCCTGGAGAACGTCATCCGCGACGCCGTCACCTACACCGAGCACGCCAAGCGCAAGACCGTCACCGCCATGGACGTGGTCTACGCGCTCAAGCGCCAGGGACGCACCCTCTACGGCTTCGGCGGCTAAACTTTCGACTTCGTTATCCTAGCCTTTCCCACCCAAAGGCCCTTATCAGGGCCACCCAAACATTCAGAAAGAACTGTACTGTTTCTAGGCTTAAAAGTTATTTCAATGTCATGAGTTTGGGCTTAAGTCGTTGGACTGCCAAGGGCAACTAATTTTCCCCAGTCGTGTAGAATACATCATCTCTGGTGCTTCTCAGGTTGCTTCTAATTTCCTGGGACCCAGCGAGAGGTGCACCAAGTATCTTCCTATACCCATCTTACCTTTATGTAAATTTATTTGGGGATGGATGCTATGGCATATTTTCCCCAGCTTTGTAACGCACCCCTTTCTGTTTTTATTAGGCTGGTGGGATATACAGCTAAGGAGAATTTGTTTCATAAACACAGAAATTTATAAAAATGGGTTCAAACTCGGGCATGGTGGAACCGCCATAAAGGAGCTCAACAGTCTACTCAATATACACCAAGAGGCAGACATTTGTTGTAAAGCACACGCAATCCAAACTGCTCAATATTGCGAATCTCCATTTAAGCTAGACAACCGTAATGAGCTCCTTCTCCTCGCTGTTACTCATTCCAAAAACTGTGCCAAAAAGAATAACTGGGGAGGCAAGCAAACAGTGCCCTTTCGCAGACAAAGTGGTTGGCCCTGATAAGGGCCTTTGATTCAAGAGTTATGCCAAAATGAAGTCAGAAAGTTTAGCCGCCGAAGCCATAGAGGGTGCGTCCCTGGCGCTTGAGCGCGTAGACCACGTCCATGGCGGTGACGGTCTTGCGCTTGGCGTGCTCGGTGTAGGTGACGGCGTCGCGGATGACGTTCTCCAGGAAGACCTTGAGCACGCCGCGGGTCTCCTCGTAGATGAGGCCCGAGATGCGCTTGACGCCGCCGCGGCGCGCCAGGCGGCGGATGGCGGGCTTGGTGATGCCCTGGATGTTGTCGCGCAGCACCTTGCGGTGGCGCTTGGCGCCGCCTTTGCCAAGGCCTTTGCCTCCCTTGCCGCGACCAGACATGCTGAATCTTCTCCTGCAAGTTTGAGAATGGCACTGCAAGTCGGACCAGGGGCATTATAGGCAGCTCTCGGACCTCGTTGAGAACAGAACGCGCGGACTGTGTAATGAAGCGCGGGAGCCTCAGCCCCGCCCCTCCACTGGCAGACACCCAAATTCTAGAAACGCGTTTTTTTTTAAAAAAAAAAATCTTTGTAAAGCGTTCATTATTAGTAACTTTTTTCAGCGCTGCTTACACGCTATGTAAATTTGAAACTGGTGTCAAATTTACAGTTAAAACCACGAGTGTTTTTCATTCCGGGCAGAAAATAGACCACCTCTGCAAGATTGGTTTTTAAAATGTGAAGCAATTATAAAAAGTTAAGAGCGTTTACGTTATAGACGGGAAACTGAATGGTGTGGCGAGTCCTTCAACTTAATCCAGTCCTTTTATCTCAAAAAGGCTCCTACCAAAAGCCTGTTGGAGTTAGCACTAAATCCTAAACTTGCCGGTGTCGGAGGGTAGAATCTTATTACAAATGATTACAGCAACTTCCATTGAAACAATTAGGTGGCTCTGAAAAGAGCCTTTGTGTTTATAACTTAAGCAAGGATGGTCGCGTTTAAGCCCGTTCACCGCGGATGCGGCGCGCCAGCTGGATGTCCTTGGGCATGATGGTGACGCGCTTGGCGTGGATGGCGCACAGGTTGGTGTCCTCGAAGAGCCCCACCAGGTAGGCCTCGCACGCCTCCTGCAGCGCCATGACGGCCGAGCTCTGGAAGCGCAGGTCCGTCTTGAAGTCCTGCGCGATCTCGCGCACCAGCCGCTGGAACGGCAGCTTGCGGATCAGCAGCTCCGTCGACTTCTGGTAGCGCCGGATCTCGCGCAGCGCCACCGTGCCGGGCCGGTAGCGGTGCGGCTTCTTGACGCCGCCCGTGGCCGGCGCGCTCTTGCGGGCCGCCTTGGTGGCCAGCTGCTTGCGCGGGGCCTTGCCGCCGGTCGACTTGCGGGCCGTCTGCTTCGTGCGAGCCATTACTCGACTTGGAAATCTAGAAATCTGCACTGCAGAAAGCGCAGTACTACTTATAGTACGTAGCGTGTCCTGATTGGCAAAGCAAACTTTCTGTGACGTGACACGCTTTTATTGGACTACTTTCGCAGAATCCGACAAGCGAGTCAGTTCATTGGCTACTGTTTGTCTACCGTTCAGTTCTTTTCACTTTTCCCCTCAATCCGCAATTGAAAGGTTTATTTTTGGTCATCTTTTCATTACACAACATACAACATGACATTCTCATCACTGAAATGTGCTTTGAAATCTATTTTACCGAATAGTGTTCCGATTTCGAATAGGTTTCCCCAAATTACTTAGTCTAGTTAAGGTTTGAGCTCTCTGGGGGAAGTTATCCCAGGTACGCGGCCGACACGGGCGCCCGCCAGCCCGGCTGCGCCTTGTTCTCGAGTGGGATAAGCATGTGACCTATTCCAAGGAAGCCGCAGGATACACTGCAAGAATCTTATCCGCGCTCTGAACTCATTGAAAAGAAACAGCACAGTGGTTAAGTTTCACTAGTGTTGCTAAAAGATTGCAGCTTTGGATTGGCTCGCTCTGGGGTTCCTACGTAGCCATTAGGAAGGCAGCTCTAGCATCCTTCATTTGCATAGACCCTGTTCACTGTAATGGCAGCTAATTCCATTAAGATGGAAATATTGAAGAAAAAAAAAGCTAAAAACAAAGATTGCTGGCGAAACCAGCGTGGAACTGAAATCCCAATCCTCCGAAATGTTGAATTCAGTTAAATGCCACGAGTGCACTAAAGAGTTTGCTAAAGTGTTCAGCTACAACATGCTTTTTCACTTTTGTGTTACAGTTGTACTTAAAGCAATCGCGACTGTTTTCCACCTCCTTGATGGGATTTGCTTTGCAGGTTTGGCCAGAGTTCCTCCAACGTGGCGACAAAGGTCTCTGCGGACCTGTTTGAGAACCTCGGCTGCGCGCGCGGGATGATGTGGCTCCCTCCTGCGCGCCTGGGCGCCTTTAAGATGTAAACTCATCCGCGGCTTTTCGCTCTCAGGCAATCTCCATTTACCATGTGAAACCGTTTTAACTTAATGAATGCCTACACAAGTTAAAGATTTTCCTCAAATTTACCCTGGAATATTCCCTTTTCTTTGTAAAATGACTTAAAGTGGCGCAATGCTTGTCTCAGTGTTTGGCAATGTTGGGTAGGGTCATAGATGTAAGAATGAGTTGGTGACGTTAATTAATAGTGGTAAAACGCGCAACCCTGGGAACACACATTGTAAGCAGCTCATCAGAGAAACGGAGAATAAAAGGAGTTTGCAAACAGGTTTAATAAATTTCAATCAGAGATTGCACAGTTTTAATCTGAAGTTTGAGTGTTCATTGTAGTATCACTGAGTTCTGGCGCTTTGTACCACTGTTTTCACCAAAACATGAGGTTTACACAGGGAATGAAGCTCCTCGGCGAGTCCAGGAAATGCCACGGCATTGTGGAAGTTATGTCTGAAACCCCCAGTCAATGGAAAACTGGTTTCACGCTGCCATCACTACAAACACGAGCTTTCACACATCCCGAGGGCCAATCGTTGTTGCTATTATTATTTCAGGTGATTGCCTCATTCACCAGCCACGGCTACTTGCTTCCCAAGAGAAGTTGCCCCTGGCGGGATGGGGGTGAGTGGGTTAGGGTGCATTGGCGGTGTGGACCGCCCCCGGAGGCCCAGGCCGAGCGGAGCGCGGCGCGTAGGGGGCGCCAGGGCACGGCGGCTAACGCACCAATCACGGCGCAGCGGGGCCCTATAAATACGCGGTGCGCCTGCTTGGAGCGTCAATCCTGCTTTAGCAGTCATTCTGGTTGACTTCTTGCTGTAGTTGTCACAATGGCCGAGACCGCTCCGGTCACTCAGCCTGCCTCCGCTGCGCCCGAGAAACCCGCTCCTGCTAAGAAGGCGGCCAGGAAGCCCGCGAAGACGGGATCGGCCTCCAAGAAGCCGGCTGGTCCCTCCGTGTCGGAGCTGATAATCCAGGCTGTTTCCAGCTCCAACGAGCGCAGCGGGGTCTCCCTGGCCGCGCTCAAGAAGGCGCTGGCGGCCGCCGGCTACGATGTGGAGAAGAACAACAGCCGCATCAAGCTGGGGCTCAAGAGCCTGGTGAGCAAGGGCACCCTGGTCCAGACCAAGGGCACCGGCGCCTCCGGCTCCTTCAAGCTCAACAAGAAGGCGGTTTCCGGGGAAGTCAAATCTAGCTCTGGAAAGGCTACTGGAAAAGCAAAGGCCACCAGCGTGCCTAAGAAGCCGAAGAAAGCCGCGGCAGCTGTTGCGAAAAAGGTCACGAAGTCTCCAAAGAAAGCGAAGAAGCCTGCGGCAGCAAAGAAGACTTCCAAGAGTCCCAAGAAACCCAAAGTTGTGAAGCCCAAGAAAGTAGTCGCAAAAAGCCCTGCCAAGGCTAAGGCTGTGAAGCCCAAAGCCACTAAGGCAAAGGTTACTAAACCCAAGGCTGCCAAACCCAAGAAGACGGCACCCAAGAAAAAGTAAAGTTCTGGTTGGAAGCTGCTTCCAGTAACCCAACGGCTCTTTTAAGAGCCACCTATATGGTTGCAGTTGAGAGCTGTACACACTGACACCGAGATGGAGGTTGCTTAGGGGTTAGAACCTCATTCAGGTGCACCAAAGAGCTTGGGCAGATTCCATACTTCCGTGTTCTGGGGAGCTGTGGCGGTCTGGGCACTTGTTCCTCTGGTCCCCAGGGTTGGGATATTGCAGGCGTGGCTGCACGGGCAGAATCTCACCCAGGCCTTCCCCTTGGGCAGCAGAAGCCACTTTGCACCATCTGTTAGGGACTTCAGATAAGCAGGGCAGTGCTCTTAGTGGGGTGCTGAGTTAGCTCCACCCTGTATACCTTTTTTCATAACAATAGGGTGGCCCAAAACAGGTGGGGAAGAGCTTAGGAAATGAGGCAGTGGGTGGGTAGAGACAGGGCCTGCTGCTCTGCCATTCCATACTGAGGGCTTGAGGCCCTATTGCACCTGGAAAAGCGAAAGAAGGCCCACGTGTTCCGGATCAGATGCGGATTGGCAACCCTAAAAGAAGCTCCTGGTTTCAGACTGGACCAGTTCTGGCTCTGTATGTTACATGCTGGCTTTTACTAGCCGCTTTCTCGCAAGTATGTATTTATTTATTTATTTTAAAGATTTAAGTATTAATTGAAAAGGCAAAAGCAATTGAGTTCAACTGGGAGACAAGAAAAATCTTAGATCTGTTGGTTCACTCCCTAAATGGCCACAAAGGTTTGAAGCTGAGCTGATCCAAAGCCGGGTTCCTCCTCCGGGTCTCCCATGGTGGTGCAGGGTCCTAAAGACCCAGGCCAACCTCTACACTTCCCAGGCTGAATGGGAAGTGGAGCAACCAGGATATGAAGTCACACCCATGTGGGATATCCAGCACTTGCAGATAATGAATTACCCTGGGAGTTGCTGCACCAGCTCCAAATAAATCTTTAAAAATGGCCAAATGTTGCTGATGTGCTGGAAATAGCACACCTTTCCAGAAATGTCTGAGATAGTTCCTGCATTACTCATCAAAATGTGGTCTCAGTGGTTGCTACCACCCTAAAGGGTGTGGGTAAATTAACTTCACATGATTACTGCTCTGCATAGCCATGGCTGCTCCTGGCTCCTTTCTGTAGGGTTACTGGCTACTTAGAGAATAGTATGCCTCTCTCTTGGTCATTTTCTTATTAGTTTGTCCCAGTATTTTTTAAATGCATTATTAATTAGCCTTATTTATCACCTGTGTTGTAGAAATCTCCTGCTGTAGTGTCATTTTGCATTTCAACTGCTTATACTTCTGATCCAGCTCCCTCGCTGGTGCCCTCTCATGGCTTTGGGTGATGCCCAGTGCCCGTGGGAGACCCAGATGGAGTTCTGGGCTTCTGGGTTTGGCTTGGACCAGCTGCAAGGATGGGCCAACAGATGGAAAAACTCTCTCCCTGTCATTCTGGCTTTCAAATAATAAAATTTG